GGCCTCTCAGGTGGCTTCTCGAGGCGCCAGTCTCGTACGTCGAGCGGTTTCTCCCGAGATTGAACGTTGACGCCGGTTTACGTTTAGCCTTCGCATGCGGTGCCCGTTCGTTGTGCTTACTTACCCGCTCGCGGCCACGGAACTGCACGTTGCGCGACTTTCGCCGGCCGCTGGAGTCCCTGAACGCCCAAGTGGACGTGCCGCCGGCGGGGGAAGACAGCCATCTGGGAATCTTTGTCAGACCGGGATAAGTTGCGCAGGCTGCAGGGCAACTAAGTTGGTATGCCGACGATCCGTTCAGAATCGGCGCGACGACTTGGAGGCTCGAAGTTGTGCGTGGCCGCGGCCCCTGCGCGTGCCCATCCATTTCCCTTCCGCACGAATGGCGGCTTTTTTGCGCTATTACTTACATCCGTGTATCGGAGGCCACGCGAGCTTGCGCGCAGAGCGGGCACCACCCGCCCGGTCATTCATACACGCCCCCCAAACGTCCGCGGGGCGCTCCTACGCCCTATCAACGCGCCAACTCGTCAGATTCCATAAGTTGTTATTCAGCCAGTTGCGCGATGCCCGAGCCTCGCCGCGACGTACGCAACAACAGTAGTACGCTCTCGATAACCGGTAACCTAGATTACCCATCCGTCCCCTCATATTACAAAGTCCCCGACCAATCCAGGAGATGCTTACAACAAAAGGGCGTATATGTCATGACGTTAAAGACGTGACGGGCGTAACTGCAGGTCGCAGAGCAATGCGGCAAATTAATATGGATATACAGTAAGTACGAAGTGGTATATGCGCGTGGCAAGTCCGCAGCGAGGCGGCCAGCAAAGCGGGCCGCACTGCTGATTTTGAGGCATGGGGGTCCGCGCTCAGACCATGTGCGCCGGATCAGCAGGCATGGCGCTCTTCTCCGCGTCGGGCGGCGGGACGCCGTCGACAGTTGGCGCCGCGCTCGTGCTCGCGCTCGCGAGGTCCCCAAGCGGCGCGCTCGGCGGCGGCGCGGGGCGCGGCGGCTTGGCGGGCGTGAGCCAAAAGACGGGGTAGCGCCGCTGGAGGTTGTTGACGACGAGCGCGACGCCGAGCGCGAGCGCGCTGGAGAGCAGCACGACGGGGAGGAAGTACCAGCCGAGGGCGCCGACGGCGGCGTCGACGGTGGGCAGCACGGCGGTCGCGCCGGCGGGCGGGTGCGTCGTGCGGGTGATCTGCATGGCGACGACGGCGGTCGCGCCGGCGAGGGCGGCGCAGAGCCAGCGGAGGTCCTCGAAGCGCGCGGGCGGGAGCATGCCGAAGAGCTTGGCGATGCACACGCCGATGAGGGCGCCGATGAAGTGCCCGCAGATGAGGGCGCGCGGCTGCGCGAGCGGCGCGTCGATCGCGCCGTAGATGAGCACGGCCGAGGCGCCCTGCGTTGTGTTATGTCAGCGGGCTGCGCAGCGGGGAGGGGGCTTTGTGAGGTAAGTACGCACGTAGCTGGCGATGAGGATGGGCACCTGCGGGTGGTGGTGCGTGAAGGTGTGTGCCTGGCCAAAGACGGCCATGATGACGGCGAGGCCGCAAAACGCGCCGATCCAGGACCAGCCCCAGACGAGGTACTCGGGGAGCGGCTTGGGCGGGGCATGGCGGTAGCCGAGCCAGCGCGAGGCCCATCTGGGGAGACGGGCGAGGACGTTCCGCGGGCGCTGCGGTTGGTGGTGCTCTGGTAGCTGCGAGCTCATGGTGGATGGCGCGGTGCGGTGCAGAGATGTGTGTGTGCTAGGACTGGCGCGTTGGCAGGGTCCCGGAGGTGTGCGAGCGAAGAAGATTGCGTGAGAAGCTAGGGAGGTCTCGATCGCGTGGTCTTATATATCCGAGAAGACGAGGGAGAGCGCAGAGAAGGCAGCTGGGAACGCGGGGCTGGCAGCAGAAGCACGGGACGACATTGAGGCGCCGCGATGTTGCAGAGCTGAGGAAGGAACAGGAACGGAAGCGAGCAAATCCCAAAGCGACAGGTCGATCGGGATCTCGCATGGACATGGCGGTGCAATCAGGCTGCGGAGTCGAGCCCCGGGCCAATCAGGGCGCGCGCACGGGACACGCGCGAATCCGGCGACTCACCCCGAGCGTGCGACTCTATCAGATAATCGCATTCAAATGGCAACTCCGGGACTCCGGGGCACACACATCCATCACTGAGTGTGCTACTTACTTATCATTCCAAGGGCGCACTCGCCGCCGCACTGCCGCTATGTGTGTCTCGCTCCCGCCGGGTCGACAACTCCGTCCTTTTCTAGCCTAGCCTAGTCGACCCCTCGTGAGCCATTTCTTGTGCCTCACACGCGCGTCGTGGGATGGCCCGGGTGCCATCCTCGATCCGCCCAGCTCTCCTCCGAGCCCTCCCGAGCCAATCGGACCCCATGAGCAACGTCATCTATACACGGCATCATACTAGTCGAATCGCGTTACATATCCCAAAACGCTGCTGCAGGCTGCGGCGCTCGACGCCAACCACCACGCTCGCCGCGCGGGCCCGCCTCCTGCCGCGCCCGCCGCAAAATCCGCTCAGACGAGGCTAAACTCCTTCAGCGTCTGCGCGAAGATCCTGACCCCCCGACGCGTCGTCTCCATCTGCACGTACCCATCAGCACCAACGACCCGACCAAACGCAAGCCAGCAAAGCACTCACATCCGCCGGCGTGAAGCTCAGCCGCAAGTGCCCGACCTCGCGGTCCGCGCCCGCGCCGTCGTGCTCGCCGTCCCCGTCCGCCGCGAAGAACCACCCCGGCGCGGCGAGCACCCCCGCGTCCGCGAGCGCGGCCCAGAACTGGCGCTCGGGGCCCTCGAGCGCGCCGTCGTCGCCCGGGCGGTCCGGCACCGCGCCAAAGTGCAGGCGCGCCCAGACGAACATCCCGCTCGACGGCGGGACGAACACGAGCAGCGGCCCGCGGCGCTTCTCCCCGCTGCTGCCACCCTTGCGGTACGCCGCGAGCGCACGCTGGCCCGCCCACGCGAGCGGCGAGGCATCGGGCAGCGGCGCGAGGTCGAACTCGGCCGCGAGGCAGTCGACGAAAAAGTCGCGCCGGGCGCGGTACTGCGCGCGCAGGCCCTGCAGCCAGCGGACGTAGCCGGGGAGGGTCCACTCGGCGAGCAGCGCAACGACGAGGGCCTGCCCGAGCCCGCACGGGTTCTGCGCGGACGTCTCGCCGAGGCGCTCGAGGCGCTCCGCGAAGAGCGGCGCGCAGGTGAACCAGCCCAGGCGCACGCCGGGCGCGATGGTCTGCGGGCGTGCGTGGGTAAGAGTAGGGGGAGGGGGAGGGGGGGGGGGAGGGGGCGCACCTTGGAAAAGGTCTCGATGCGGATGACGCGCCCCTGCGTGTCGACGCGCAGGAAGCTCGGGACGAGGCTTGCGAGGAAGCGCGCGCCGTCTGGGTCCTCGGCTTCGGTCGCCCGGTGCGCTTTGGGGGCGTACTCGCCGAGCTGGAGGAAGAAGTACGGGTCGTCCTCTGCGATGATCAGGTCTGCCGGGGCCGTTTGAGCACGAGGGGAGGCGAGCACGGGGAGCGGGGCGCGCACCGAACTCGACACAGACGTCGTAGATCGCCTGCTTGCGCGCGAGGCTCATTGTCTGTGTGTGTGTGTGTGTGTGGTGAGAGAGCAGTCGTGCAGGACGGGACGTGGGAGGACGCACCGCGCCGCTCGGGTTCTGGCCTACGGGCACGGTGTATATCACGCGCGGCCTGTCCGCGCATCAGCACAGAGCACACATACACACAGCCCCTCGCACCTCGGCCCATCGCGCCGCACATCCCACCCCTCCAGCACCTCACGCAGACTATCCGCGCGCATGCCCTCCCCATCCATCGCGACCCCGCGCACCTTCACCCCGATCGGGCGCGCAGTCGCGAGCGCCGACGGGTACGTCCACTCCTCCACAAGCAGCGTGTCGCCCGCATCGAGCAGCACGCGCGCGACGCGGCCCCACCCGTCCGTGTTGCCCGTGTGCACGAGCGTCGTCCAGCCGCGCGCGCGCGGCGCGTGCACGCGCGCCGTGAACGCGCGCAGGAACGCCTGCGTGCGCGCGAGCCCCGTCGCGGGGCCGTACTGCAGCGCCGTGGCGAGGTTCAGCCCGCCGTCGTGCGCGCGCGGCGCGCGCGGGATGTCGATGTGCGCGGTGGCTGCGCTGGTGCTGCCGAGGAGGCGCCAGAGCCAGCCGAGCGGGGAGCTTGTGCTTGCGCCGGGCGTGGGGCGGGCCGGGGCGAGCGGGAAGGCGTCGGCGGGGAGGACGTCCGCGCTGATTGCGGTGAAGGGGAAGTAGTCCGCGCTCGGGAGGCCTGCGGTGCGCGGGGCGTGTTAACGGTCAGCGCGCGCGACGCGGGCGCGGGCGCGGAGACGCACCGCCGGCGAACTGGATGATGTCTTTGTCTCTGTACTTTTGCAGGCCCTTGAGCGGCGAGAGCGAGTAGCGGCGCGCGTAGGCCGAGATGTGGTGCGAGAGGTCGACCGGGGGCTTCTCGTCTGCCATGGCGGCGGTGGTGGGCGTGCGGAGACAGGGGAATGCGCAGGGCAGGTCGAGTCAGCGCAAGGAGATAAGGACGCAGCAGGAGCATGCGTCACGTCCCTGCTGTCCAGCTGAGCAGGGTCAGCGCGGCGGCCGGCACGCGCACGGCTTGGATATTATGCGCTGGGAGTGGCGGACGCGCGGTGCCTGGCTGACTAGCCGATAAGATAGATTATCCGAGCGTGATTGGCTGAGAGGCGCGTGCGGGGAGCCGTGCATTGGTTATTCTTGTCTTGCGTGGGACGGCGCGCTGTTGGACTTTGCAGCAGAGAAGGCGGAGGGCGTACTGGTCGAGTGGTTCGATGTGGGCATGCTGGGACGCTGTCAGGCGCCAGGAACGCGGAACGTCGCTGGCGATCTTGCACGCACGAAAGGCAGTTCATTCATCTAAAGCGGCCGGCTGTTGGAGCGGACTCGAGCCTTCTTATCGTCACCTGCACGGGGCGCAAAAAGATGTTTCCAGTACCCCCGCCGGGACTCGAACCCGGAACCTCCAGATGCCACCTCGTTGTAGAAGTCTGACGTCATAACCATTAGACAACGAGGGCTACCACCGTCCTTCCCTCAGCCGCATCACAACCTTGCAGCCACTCCAACCCCATCTAATCTAATCTTATCTCTTTACAATCTTCCCCCTGCGTTGAAATTATCCTCAGAGCTACAAACTGTAACCTCAACACAATGTCCGCGCCCAAAGGCGTCCTCCTCAATGCCGACTCCATCGCCCAGCCCTTCCTCGCCGAGCTCCGCACCGCCCTCGCCGCCCGCCCGCCCGGCGCCCGCCCGCCCACGCTCGTCGGCATCCTCGCCACCTCCTCCGCGCCCAGCGCCGCGTACGCCGAGTTCACGCGCAGGCAGTGCGCCGCGCTCGGCGTGCGCTTCGAGCTGCGCGCCGTCGGGCGCGCGGTGGATCCCGACGCGCAGGATGGCGACGGCGCGGAGGAGGCGATCATCGAGGCGAACGCGGACGCGGACGTCGATGGGATCATGGTGCGCACCCGGAGTCGCGCGTGGTGTGCGTGTGCGCTGAGCACGGCGCTGGGCACAGGTGTATTACCCGATCTTTGGGAGGGCGCAGGACCACTACCTGCAGCAGATCGTCTCGCCGCTCAAGGACGTCGAGGGGCTGCACTACACCTTCCACTACAACCTCTACCACAAGTGCGCGCGCACCCCACACACACTTACTCACTTACTCACTCACTCACTTCGCGCGCACAGCATCCGCTTCATCGCGCCGCGCGAGCTGCTCGCGCCGGCCCCCGCACCCGCACGTGCACACGAGGGCAGCGCATCGGACGCGCCGCCGCCGCCGCCCGGCACGGCCAAGTCGCTCTTGCCGTGCACGCCGCTCGGCGTCGTCAAGGCGCTCGAGGCGGTCGGCGTGTACAACGCGCTGCTGCCGTACGGCGACCGCGCGTACGGGCGCACCGTCACCGTCATCAACCGGTGCGCGCCCCCCGCGACTGTGCGGCTGACGCTGACGCTGACGGCGGCAGCTCGGAGGTGGTGGGCCGCCCGCTCGCGGCGCTGCTCGCGAACGACGGCGCGCGCGTCTTTTCGGTCGACGTCGACTCGGTCCAGGAGTACACCAAGCGCCCCGCGGCGGCGGGCACGGACGCCGATGTGGCGGCGGAGCGGGCGTACCACCCGCACCACGTCGTGCGCGCGACGGGGCTCGACCTGCGCGCGTGCCTTGCGCTCTCGGACGTGGTGGTGGCGGCGGTGCCGAGCGCGGGGTACAAGGTGCCGACGGCGCAGCTGAAGGACGGGTGCGTGTGCGTGAACGTCGCGGCGGAGAAGAACTTCGAGGCGGACGTGCGGGACCGCGCGGCGCTGTACGTCCCGGCCGTCGGGAAGGTCACGGTGCTCATGCTGCTGCGCAATCTGTGGGTGTCATTCTCGTCGTGCGCGTGTGGGTGTTGACGGCGGAACCAGGCTACGCTTGATGCAGTACCAGGAGCTGCTCCGGGAGGCCGAGGCTGCGCCCGCGCAAGACGGCGCAGCGCCCTGACGCAACATTGCAAAAAGACGACGACACGTCGTCGCAAAACGGCTTGTAGAGCGAGCAGAAAGAAGCGTAACTAAGTCAACGGCAGCTGTAGTAATACGTATATAGTCAAACTGGGCCTGCACCAATGGACTCGTGCATGTGCGGTGCGATACTGCCTCCTTGCATGTGTGCGGGTCAACGGAACTGCGCCTCGGTGACGCGGATCTCGGGCGCCGCGCGGAAGTAGTCCGGCGGCGTGCTCGTGCCCGAGAGTGGCGTGATGGGCGTCGCCATGCCCGACGGCTGCTCCTCCGGGAGGATGCGCAGGCGCTGGCGGTGGGCCTGCCGTACACAGCGTCAAGCGCAGCAATGCATGCATCAACAAAGGGACGTACCATGGGCAGCTTGGGCACGAGCGTGAAGATGAGCGCGGAGAGGTTGACTGCGAACAGCCACGGGTTGTAGTTCGTGTAGTGCGTCGAGAGCAGGAAGCTGCGGGGGCGCAGCGGTGAGCGCTCGTTGGAAGCCGGAAGTAAAATAGAGCGCACAGGACGACGGGGACGGAGAAGAGCCACTTGCGCGAGGGCGTGTTTTGCGCGCCGCCGTCGATCTGCTCCCACAGCGTGAGGTCGTCGTACGCGCCGCCGTGCAGCTCGTTGTCGAACGGGATGCCGGTGACCCAATGGAACATGAGATACGAGCACTGTGGCACGCGCGCGCTCAGCCGAAAGGGAAAATAAATGATACGGGGCTGTGCGCACGGCGAGGTAGGTGAGGTTGACGGCCGTCCAGGAGAGGTTCTGAGTCATGCCGGGGATGGTGTCGATGATGACCTTGCCCGTGGCGATGAGGACGAGGTGGATCATCCACGCGCCTGCCACCGCGCATGAGCGCTGCCGTGGGCCTGCTGAGGAAGAGAGCAGACACACGCACCCTTGCGGTTGACCCACTCGGCGTTGATGTTGGCATAGGCGGCCTGGTCGAGGGTCTCCTCGTTTGAGCTGTCGACGTGCTCGACCTTGAGGATGCTGGGGCTGCGGCGCCGGCGCTGTGCGACGGTTGCGGGGTCTGTGTGGATGGAGAGACGTGTGATGCTGGGCGGGCTGAGGCCGCTCATGGTTGAAGGAGGAGAAGAGTGTGTCGGCACTCGGCGCGGCGGTGCTCGCGTCTGTCTCAGCCACCGGCACCGCGTCCGACCGTTTCCCCTCTTGGTCTTGACGCTGAACTACTGGGTCAACTACTAGGGTCAACTACTAGGGTCTGCTACTTTTACTACTAGGTTTCTACCAGGCAACTCTAGGATCTCTTGCGCTCGCTCTATGTCCTCGCTCTGACCATGTTACTCTTGCACTGGTGCACCCTCGAACCCGCAGGGCCCTCGCGCCTAGCCGCCCTCCGCTTCTCGTCCCCCGTTCGCGTCCGCTCCCTCCGCGTCTTCCCAGCCGGCGCCCAGCCCTTCGCACACGCTCCCGCGCTCGTATCGTAAGTCGTCGTCGCCTCCCCGACGCCCGGCCGCACGCCGCGTGCCGTCGTGCCGCGCGGCTCCGTTTATCCCATTGTGCTGACGCGGCGCGCGCCAGGGAGACCGCGCCCGACGCGTTCGTCCTCGACGTCTTCTTCAACGCGCATCCCATCGCGACCGACCCCAAGCTCAAGGCAAAGGCGACCAATGTCCTCGTGCCCACCTCCATCGCGTACGCCGGCGGCCACGTCGACTTTCCCGTCGACATGGGCGGCGAGGTGCGCCGCACCCCCCCTTGCTCATCGCGCCGCTCCTGGCAGCTGACCCAGCGCGCCAGTTCGCCTCGCGCCTCATGATCGTCCAGGGCAACTTCACCAAGCTCTCGCTCGCCATCTACGGCGACGTCGCCTCCGAGCTGCCCTCCGCCCCCTCCGCCTACACCCCGCGCGCGCTCCCCGCCCTCGCGCCCCTCCCGCTCACCCCCGCCCTCGACCCCGCAGCCGCCGCCGACCCGACCGCGCTCCCGCGCGCGCTGCTCGCGCTCGTCCCCGCCGCGCCGCCGCTCGCGCTCGTCGTCCGCCTCATGTTCTGCCTCAAGCCCGCCAGCGACGACTGGGACCGCCCCGCCTTTCCGTACCTCCACCCCGACCTCGACGACGACGCGGGCGACGACCCGATGGGCTTTGATCTCGAGTACGCGTACGGGCTCGTCAGCCAGCCCGTCGCGGACGACGTGCCGCTCGCGGTGCTCCAGCGCTTTGCGGACCGCGTCGCGGACGCGGTCGGGCATAGGGTGCGTGGCGCGGCCCACCTCGGTATCTCTCCTGACGCGTGCAGAGCGGCGACCGGGCGTACTATGTCGCGGGCATACTGTCCCGCGTCGCGTGCCAGCACCGCGAGCTCCCCCGGCTTCTCACCGTGCGTGCCACCCTCTTGTATGCGCGCGCCCAGCTAAGGACCCCCCCCCCCCCAGGACCGCCTCGACCTCCCAGCGATCTTCGACGCCTCGACAATGGACGAGGACACGCTCGAGCACCTCCTCGTCGCCGCCGCCAACCCCGACATCGCGCGCGCCCTGGCCGCCGCGCGCCTCTCCGAGCCGCTCGAGACGCTCGCGCGCGGCGCCGGCGTCGACGCGTACGTGCAGCGCGCGGCGCAGCGCGTGCTCGTGCGCCTGCGCGGGTGGGCCGCGCTAGCCGCCGCGATCGACATGGACGACGGGCTGGACGATGCCGCGCGCGAGGCGCTGCGCGACCTCGGCGGCGACGAGCCCTCGTTCGGCGTCGCGCTGCACGCGTTCATCGCGCACCCCGACCTCGCCGCGCGCGTCGGCGCCGCGCCGGCGCTCGGCGAGCTCAGGCGCTGGGTCGGCGTCGCGGGCGTGCTGGCGGCGTATGCGTGGGCGGACAGCGTGCCGAACGAGATGTGCCGCGCGCGCGTGTTTGGCGTGATGCGCGTGTGGCAGACCGCGCCGGGCTATCGCGAGGTGCGCGCGCCCTGCTCCTTTCTTTGTCGAGGAGCGGACTGACGAACTGGCGGCGCGCAGGTCCTGAATTACCTGCTCCTCCTCCGCCAGATGATCTTCCGCCTCGAATGCATGACCGACGACGACACCCCGACGCGCGCCAGCATCGCCGCGGAGCAGATCCTGCACGCGCTCACGCGCGACCCGAACGCCCTGCACTCCCCGCACCTCGCGCGCTGCATCCTCGCGCTCCAGCCCGGCTTCTCCGCCTTCAACGCCACCGAGCTCGCCGCGCTGCGCACGCTCGCCGACACCGCGCTCCCCAGCGCGCTCGACGCGCTCCTCGCGCCGCCCCCCGCCCCCATCCCGCCCGCCGCCCTGCGCACGCTGCGCACCGCCGCCGCCGTCCTCGCGCACGAGCTCGACACCCCCGACGGCGAAGACGCCGTCCTGCGCGCGCTCTGGGCGCGCGCCGCGCACGGACTCCCGCTGCACCTCCTCGCCGCGCTCGAGGCCCTCGCCGCCGACGCGCGCGCGCACTTCGGCCTCGCGCCGCCCCCGCCGCGCGCGCGCACCCCCCAGCGCGCCGCGCTCGCGGACGTCCTAGCCGGCGCACAGGAACTCCTCG